CGATGTGCGGGGGGGGGGGCTGTGCGCCACAGGTGTGTCTGCCTGACCCAAAAGCCATGGACGAGAAGATGCAAACGAAAAACTCGTCACGCAACCAAAACCTGTTGGCAGCACAAGGCTGAGCTAACGTACGAAGAGTAAGTTTCTTCCTTTTTCAATTCAGTTTAATAATTCTTTCATGTTTTTTTGTTTTTCTTTCATTTTTGTCTTCTTTTTTTAGGGGGGGGGGGCAGGGAGAAACTACTATGAAGCTATTTCCTATTCGACCTATTCAGATGAGCGCATTTTTCCACGATGCTCGCAGATAAAGAAAAAACCCACAGGGGCCGGTGTCTCGAAACCAACGACAAGACAATCATAACTTTATCAAGCAACTACGGAGATGTCGCTGATCTTCCTAAACCGTTTTATGAAGAGCTTACTAGCTAGACATCGCGTGAAATCGATACTTTCGGCAAGAATTGCTGTTGTTGTTGTTTTAGTCTTATGGGCGTGTGTCATTCAATTATGAATATTTACGCCAAGAGGAGCCAAGAAATAGCCTTAGTCACAGTTCTACCGGATTAAACAAAAAGTAATTTTAGGAAAACTGTAATTATTTATAAAATGAATTAGGAATAAAAATAAGATTAAAAATAGTGGGAATAAGATATGCAGTATACTTAATTTGTGTAGATTCAATTATACAATTATTTGTAAAATATATTTGTGAGTATTTCGTTTCATGAATCAGTCTTGTTTATTAGATGGGAGGGGTGGCACTGAAAGGCTAGGAATATTGTACTAACGACCTGTTGTACTAGTACTTCTAAAGTCCATCAACAAGGGTAGCATCTACAGTGTGAGTACACAAAGTTTACACCTGGAAAATTGCTAACTATTTTATAAATCATCTTTGAACAGTAAATTATTAAACATCTTATGAAAGAGATTGAAAATAATTCCAGGAAATAGGCGATGCAATATACTTACAAATTTGTGTAGATTATACAATAGAAGTACTTGTAAAATATAATTGTGAGTATTTTATTACATGACCGGTGAATCAGTTTTGTTCTTGATGGGTATCCCCCGGATATTTTCATTTGATAGTTTATAAAAATACACCAATATATTATTCTTAGAAAAATACGATGTAATGAAATTTGTGTCCAATGTGTTAGGCGTCAGCACATCAAAATTAAAAAACTTCAACATTTCAAACGTTAAAAAATATGTTTAAACTATTCAGTTTAAACATTTGAAGATAGAATTTACCTCAAAATTAATGTAGGTCTGAAAACTAGAGAATACACTTCTAACTATACTACCATGGCAGAATACCCACCCCTTTAGGGATTTTACAATGTGGAAATAAAAGCGTATGATCGGTTTAGTTAAGTGGGTAAAGCCTTAAATATAAACATGACATATTTTCAAAAGGTTAACATGACCAAAGAATTTGATTTTTCTCTCCTTAACCCTAATAAGGCCGGGGGGCCATTATGCCCCCCCCCCCCTCCACGATTTTCCTGATTGTTCGGGAACGCATCATATGGATGGTGCCCTGCCGCTCGCTGACTTTTTCTTTCGGGTCTTGCGCATCTTTTTTTTTTTTTTTTTGAAAACCGGACCTATAGTTACAAGGTCATGTGACATTTTGTCTTTGCATGTCAGCCCGAAAATTGCTCATTTTTTGTGATTTGTGTACAAAACATATGGAAATGTCATTTTTCCTAAAAAATAGATCAAACATTAGTTATTGGGTCTTGTTTAAGGTTTAGGTGGTTGTTTTGGGAGTCAAAACAGTTGAAATGTACTAAGAAATGAAATAAAACAACAAACACAATAAAAAAAACATTAGTTGAAAAAAACAATTAAATACATAAGAAAATATGAAAACAAGAGATAACATAAGGAATAAGCTGGCTCTTCCAAATTTTGTTATCGTATTATTATTCCAAATGGTCTAATGAATATATGTAGTGAAAAAGAATGCTTAAATATGAATAATGTATGATTTATGGGTAAAAATGTAATGTTATGACATTATTTGCATAAATTACCATAAATATGCAAATGAGTGAATTTTTCAGAAAATTTAAATGATCATATTATTCTATACACTTCACTTGACATGCATGCACATTTTCAGGGGGATCGGCCCATTTCACGGCCGAGATCTTAAGGGGGCCGTAATGCCCCCCCCCCCCTACCGTACTAAGACCTCAAATAGCCCGGCATTTTAGGGTCAACTAATCCTGCTAGTGCAATTTGTCTACGCCCTGCCAAGTGCAATATCTCTTTGTTGGTTTTCATTCGTTTCCAGGATATTTTCATCATTCTTCTGTAGATCCACATTTCAAAAGATTATCTTTTCCATGGCCTTGTTTATCGTCTATGTTTCTGCTCCATACAATAGGACAGATCATACATAACAGATTACTACTCTCAACCTAAGCGCAAATTTCACCTTTCCATTTGTGAATAATCCCTTCATTGCCAAAAATGTATTCCTAGCAATTTCTATTCTTCTTTTTTTTTCTGCTTCGCATCTTGCATCATCTGTGATATTTTGTCCTAAGTAGATGTAATTACTGACTTGCTCAATGATATGTCCATCGAGTTTCAAACATATTCTCGGCTTATTCTCTGTTCTACTAAAAATGATTGACTTAGTTTTCTTGACATTCATGCTTAGACCAAACTCTTCACTTTTGACTTTTATAATATCCTATACATGTTTTAAATGTGCCTCATTCTCTGCGCAAAGTATAGTGTCATCAGCATAACGAAAATTATTAATATTTACACCCCCAATACTAACACCTTTCATATCGAAAATTTCCCTGAATACCAAGAACTCTGTGCACGTTTCCTTTGCTCTTCATAAATACCAACAAAATGATAGTACACACTCAGGTGGTGTGTTTTCCATTTGCAGGCTGAAAATATAATTTTATGTGAATCCCATCCTAAACAAGAGGTACTGAACACTTCCCTGAAAAGATTAGAACTGGCAATTGCTTTTTTGATATGTGGAATTATATCGACCGTTAGGAATTTTCGCAACACGTTTTGAAAATTATGCGTAGAAAATAGTCTGGTTTTTAGTATCATTTGATCGTACGTTTTGTGCTGCGCAAAGATTCAATTTGCTTAATTTTGGCTATTAAAAGAATTGATTTATTGATGTGTAAAACAAAATGCTCATGTACCCCTTACAGCTCATTTTATGAATGTTATTTCCAAAGAAAACAAAAGTCAGGCTGTCACTCAATAGTGTCTGAAAGTAAAGTCTAGGAATTAAAACGGGTTTCCTTGCATAATTTGAATACTTTAGAACACTGCAAACTATACATTTCACAGATAAGACACACGTGACACATTCATAGTTCCTGCAATATTCTGCATTAATTTGATTTAGGCCGCAAGAGGGACACATTTTCGCTTTGAGATTTCGCTTTGAGATTTTCCTTTTACAGGTGCCCTTTCTTCTTGGTGCCCCCTCCCCCTCCAACTTCGGAAGTCGCTTGGCCGCTCCTGGCCCAAATGATGTATTTCTCGTCCCTTGATCGCATATGAATTGTTGAAAACTTTTATCACTCCTTGGAAGATATTGATAACTTATTGGTAGATCGGTACATGTCGTACACAAGTCATCGCAACTCATACCGAGCTCGCGTGACTCGTGCATCCAACGGAGGGAACTCGATAATGCGTCGTATGATAATTCATGCAAATACCATACAAACTAGAAATATCGCAATCTGTATTGCCGCGCAATGCGAATGTATCCCCCGGCAGTGGCAGCGATTTTGTGTTATCCTTATGTGGAAGGAGGGACAAAGATTCCCTCTCCTCTTTGTGAAACAAAAGGATGACGTAGAGATTGCCGCAAGTGGCTCAGACTATTGTCAAGACTAGGAGCAGCATCACCAAAACAATAGGTGTGTAGATCAGATTATGATGCATATTTATAGAAAATTTGAAAGAAATGTGATTTGCATAGCGACACAAGATATTCCTTTAAATATGACCTTTGACCCTATAAGAGATGGAATACTGGGGGGTAGCAGCACCAAATTTGTGGAGGTCTAGAGTAAACTATAATGAACCTGAATACAAGCAGCATCACTAAAATCTATAGGCTTGTAGATTATACCAAGATACACCTTTGTTCAAAATTTGAACAAAATCCCTTTAGAAATGTGGCCTATAGAGCGCACACAAACAAAAATATGGCCTTGTACCCTATAGAAGGCGGAATACTGGGGGCAGCATCACCAAAAGTTATAGGTATGTAGATCATTCCAGGATACACCTCCATACAAAATTTGAAAGAAATCCGTCAAGAAATGTGGCAGTTAGAGCGCACACTAGAGTGCACACAAGACATCTATAAAAAATATGACCTTTGACCCTATAAAAGACGGAACATTGGAGGCAGCATCACTAAAATCTATAGGCTTGTAGACTATATACCAAGATACACCTTCGTTCAAAATTTGAACAAAATCCCTTTAAAAATATGGCCTATAGAGCGCACACAAACCATCCACAGAAATATGGCCTTGTACCCTATAGAAGACGGAACACTGGGGGCAGCATCACCAAAAGTTATAGGTATGTAGATTATACCCGGATACACCTCCATACAAAATTTGAAAGAAATCCATCAAGAAATGTGGCAGTGAGAGCGCACACAGAATATGACGCGGCGGCGGCGGCGGCGTAACGCTGCTGAATCCAAAGTACCCCACCGGCATACTGCCGGGGGATATAATAAGTAAATTTCAAGCGAGTTCACGTGAGTTTACGCGAGTTCAAACTCGCCACAACTCGAGGCTCCAACTCGGCTAAGTGGGAGCCCTGCTTTACATTACGTAACAACTGAATGAGATTCACACATTCTTTGTCCAGTGTTTACACTTGTCTCCTGCTCGTGAGCATTGTCCACCAGTGGCAAAAGCCTCCATTCAGTCGACATTCCACCTGAATACCTGACGGGATAAAAGGAGGAAGGAAATAAATAGCTATAAGGAAATAATATCATATGAGTCGACATTATGACTCTATAGCAGAGTGGTATATGATTTCATCATTGGCAATGTTTGGATCATTTGGATCACACTTTTTATTTGTAATATTTCAAACTAAAGAGGAAGCAAGAGTTAACGAAGTCAAGATGCATCGAGATGTAAGTACAACTCCATGATATAGGATACAGACTAATTTAATACATAGGACTAAGCGAAACATAGTGACCGAGTAAGCAAGGAGGAACCGAATCGCACGCTACAATATTTGAGTGAATTTATACTTTACATTAAGTACGTCTTATAAAAGCGAACATTTTTTAGGTCATTACATAGGAATATATAAAACGGGCAAAAGTGGTCATGTTGACAATTTCAAGAGGTGAGAATCTTCTTTGAATGCACGAGAGACATACATTTGAGTACGAACGTTTGGAGCTAGCAGGAGAACTTTGTCAACTGATTGCAATTTTCTTGAACGGACACATTTGCCAATGAGCATTATAACTTATATGACTGTCGAACAGGGATCGCAAATAGCCCCAATTTTATATAACAAATATTGTATTTTCGTTGTACAATATAAAATATATTCACCTCCAAAGTCAGAAATTACATCAGGCCGCAGTACCTCAACTTCGACCTGCGGCCTCGTTGAAATATAGCATTACTCGAATAATTCTGAATGTGTCGCATATCGGTTCTGTCGGTTCTTTTATCTACTTTGGATTTTGCATATACATATATGAATATGTAGCATGAAAATAAGAATTTAACAATAATGAATCCTTTATATATTAAATTAAAAATAGGATAAGGTTCAGTGTTACTTCAAAAACTTAAGTCTTCAGATGTAACTTAATTGGTAAAACGTTGGGTACCATACGAACATCTAGTCAATTTTTCTGGTGGGCTATTCTAAAGTTACTCCGTTAACTCTATATTTTCTGTACCATATTCTCTTTTTCTCTTCTCTGCTTGTGTAACAAAATTCATTGATAAAATCTACACTGTTGGATGAATAATTATTTTCTTATTATTTAAAAAAAACTTGTACAATACCTTTTTAGTGCTCGATGTAGAAGAACACACTGAGTTGAATACACAAGTTGAATACCTGAGGCATAATTATAGTATTACTGTTATGACGTGTGGGCTGGCATTGCTCGTGTTGGCGTCGATATCACCACCCATTCCATCACCTATTGATAGCCTGGTCCTCTTTAACTTTAAACACAGGTTGGCAAATACGTGTGCATGAAATTTGAAAGTGCTTATCTAATTCAATAATTCTCAATTATAATACTCCATAGTACCTGATTCGAGGCAGTAGCGCAATGTGCTTAGAATTTTGAGACGGCTGAGCTAATTCGGGTATAATTGTTTAATATTTTTTAAATATTGATTCCAGACAATACAAATCTACGGAAGCCCATTAGTGCCACCATACGAAATAAAATTTAAGAGGAATTATCTGGCGGCCGCCAGATAATTCCTCTTAAATTTTATTTCGTATGGTGGCACTAATGGGCTTCCGTACAAATCAATCTGAGAAATAAAATAAAGTTGTTTTTCATCTTGACATGAATTCAAAACATATTCATTACATAGTTTGTACGTTTGATGAAAAAAAATGAAATCAGTTGTAACATAAAACAACCCCCCCCCCCCACCATGCGACACACACACACCCGCACACACACACACATTTATTTTATTTCTCCAAATGTATAATACAAACCATATATGTCAAACGTAAATGTTATTCACTTAAATATACATGTAAAAAAAAAAACTTAAACGAATCTGGAGGTAATTTTTAAAGGAACAATGCCTGTTCCTCCCTGCCACCTCCCTGCCCCCTCCCTCACACAAACACCCCCCACCCACCCCCCCCCCCCACACACACTACTCACTCAGTGGATGTCTGCTAACATTCTCAACTCAAGACAAATATACTAAATAAGTTATACAGGCCGCAAAATAGAGTTACATTTTTAACAGGTTCACGGTGGAGAAGAAAACAAATCTTAATTAATCTTAAGCTGCTCCCACCTAAGAAATGTGATCCCAGCTTTCCCGTTTTAATTGCTATTTTCTTTTCCTCATCCCTATACTTAAAAATGTTTTTTTTTCATCTTTTCTAAAGTTGGTACCCTCCCCCCGATCTTGACATAAATGTAACATACTTCACCATGAAAATGATAATATTACACATTTTTATTCTATATGAAATTCCTGCCAACCCAACAAATATATCTCGCCATTCTAAATCTTTAATATCATCTAACTCACAAAGTTGTACTGAAGCCTGCCATATCCTTTGAAGGCTCCCGCAAGATAAAAATAAACGTTTGTATGTTTCTATTTCCTGCTTACAAAACGAACATAAATTATCACCAACAAAACCAAATCTATGAAGATGCTCATTAGTATACATGGCTCCATGCAATAATTTAAATTGAAATTCTCGTTGTTTTCTAATGAGTATAGTAATTTTTGGTCAATCAAATATTTCTTTTAATTCTTTATCTATAAAATCATAATCATTTTACCCATCCTTTACCTGCAAATCATACGTTTGTAACAGTGCTTTGATAAAATAATCATAAATTGTTCTTGAACCCACATACAAAAACTGTATTTTTTTAACCTGAAATATGGAAATAAGTATTAAAGCTTATAAAATCAACCTCGAGGAATTGCATTAAACCCTGAATCATCCTTCCATTACCTGGGTATCGCATCATAAATATCAATAATCATAAGCAAATTATTAGCTTTCATACCGAGGTTCATAAAATATTTAACAGACTTAACATGGCCTTTCTCAACCAAGTGATTCAGTTGAACAATCCCTCTTTCAAACGCATACACACACACACACACACACACACATACGCGCGCACACACACAAAAAAGAAGAATTTGCATTTTACAGTATGATAACTTTGCATATTATAATAGTAATAATAATAATAAGGTATTTCTATACCGCAAATTGCATATTGGCTCTAATCGGTTTAGAAGAAAAATAGTTTATAAGTAAAGGAAACAGAATTTGCATTACAATAAATGTAACAACAAAAGAAGAGCGTGAAAAATGTACGTTATGACGTGTAGAACTTTGCATTTTGGGGGGAGGGGATGATGTTCCTGAAAAAAAAATGTGGGGGGATATGCCCCCAATCATTTTCCCCTCATTTTACATGTATTCCCTCAGTTTTTAAGGAAATTCAAGCCTAAAGATAAGGGGAGGCCTAGTTGGGGTTTAGGAGGGAAGCTCCCCTCTAATTGTGAGAAAAATGGGTTAAACAATCTTTCTCTATTTAGTAAAACAAATACATTTTTATATGAAAGGGGATTCCTAATAAAAATCAGCCATTTATACCTTTTAAAATTCATACTCCTGAAATCATACAGAATGTTTGTCTTGTAGGCTGTCTTTATGGAGCGCAGGATATATATATTTAAATCCTTCAATCAATTCGGTGTAGATAGCTCTTCCCCCAATGAGACAAAACTGTGTATGGGATCGGCACTCCGATGCTATTAGACCCTATAAAAGCGTACTGAGGGAGTGGTTTTATGGTATATACACGGTATGGAATGAACAGAAGGTGGGCTTTATTTCCTCCCTTTTGGTCTTTCTTCCTCTGTTCTATTCTTTCTATCTTGTTTTCTCTTGTCCTTTTATTTTTCGGTCGCGGCTAGGCTATGTGTGAGAGTGTGATCAAAGCAGAAGAAAATCGGATTTGGATTTGGACAACTTCTACAAAAGCCGTGATAATTTGAATCTTGTCATAAATTATGACGGGAGATATATGAACAAGAGAAAAGTAAACTTGATGTAGATAATGTTGCCGTGTCTGATTTATTATGATCTTTCAATCATTCATTAGTTAACTTTAGGAGGGAGAGAAAAACAACGACAGCCATACGTTTGCGAGTGTCTTCCTATAAAAAATAAATGAAAACATTTCACGAAATTTGTTCGGGAGGGAGTGCTTGCTTGTCAAAACCGTAATCACAACCAATGAGCTTAGACATAAGCTAATCCTACCTCCTTGTCATATCCTTTTAAAAGTTTTAACTATAATTCTTTGTTATTATGTCATGTTCTTAGAGAATTTACTACTACTATGGTGACCCAGAAAGATCGGCGGCTCCAGTTTTCACCGTGAAAAATGGCCGTTCTGTGCCTGGCAACCGTCACAACGAACGCTCAACAAATTATGATGACTGGGAGGAACCTACATACCATGACAATTTGACATTTAATAGGAACATTATGCAAAATGAACGACAACGATATGAAATTGGGCCAAAAAGAACAAAATCAACGGGAAAATTGGCTCTTATATGGAAACAAATGGTCAGCGTGATGTGCTTCCAGGCTCGCCGCCGGTTACAACCGCGACAGGACAAGACGCGACGGACGTTGGACCTCGTAGGCAACATTCGACTCTCCCGGTGATGAAACACATGGAGGGGGAAAAAAAAACAGACCTCGAAAAATGGCGATTGTTGCAGTTATTGTTCTTATTATCCTTTGCCTGTTAATAATCCTTGGTGCTGGTCTCAATGCCATCCTCTTCCTCTTGGGTGAGTAACTCTGTCGTGTTTTTTTTCTCTCTCGGTATTAGATAACATGTACGTAAAGTCTTCCAAGGACAATTTCTATAGAGTACCGAAGCTGTGACATTATACAAATCTATTCTTAGAATTTCTCAATTCTTTCTTCATTTTCCGAAAGAGCATAACAAATAATGTCCAAATGTCAATTTATGAGCCAGAGCAGTATAACACTGAGCTCCTATAGGAAATCTATTCATTCAGATGGTCATATCTCAGCCAATACTTAACGTTTTCAACTGGCTTTCGACATTTGGACATTATTTGTTATGCTCTTTCGGAAAATGAAGAAACAAATTGAGAAATTCTAAAAATAGATTTTTTTTGATGACGTCACACTTCACTACTCTATACCTCATTGCGCTACCTTTAGAACCCATGGTCTGACTGTGTCACCTTTTGTGTAATCTAATTATTGTTCGCACATATAAATTAACAAAATTATAATTAAAAATTAAAATATCACGCCAAACACAGCCTTATTACTATACTATAACTACTACTACTAATTTTACTACTTCTGCTAAAACTACTACTACTACTACTACTACTACTACTACTACTACTACTTCTTCTTCTTCTACTACTACTACTTCTACTACTACTTCTTCTACTACTACTACTACTACTACTACTACTACTACTTCTTCTTCTTCTACTACTACTACTTCTACTACTACTTCTTCTACTACTACTACTACAAGCTGACACCATCAAGTGTGATTTGTGGAAGTGTAAATCCCCTTGATGTTTTAATCTTGAAGTCACGAATGTATAAAACGCATGCATGCATTCTAGTTCTAATGTCAACTTTTGTTTTGATTTGTTTTAATGAAGGTCCATTCGCTGCAACCTCACCAGCAGCAACGACAGGTAGTATTATGCATAATTTCCATTTAACATAATTATATATAACCTTGGAGATAAGTTAATAGTGAAGGACGTGAGTTTAAACCAGAGGCGGCCCTCCCGGGGGGGGGGGAATAAGTAATAAGTAATAAGTGTAATAAGTATAATAAGTGCCCCTTCCCCTTTTAATAACTAACCCCATTTTAATTCGGATAAGCGCACCTTATATTTTCACATGTGCCCCTTTTCCTAATGATAACTGCCCCGTAAAAAAGCCCCTTCCTTTTCTCATAACTGCCCCTTCCCTGGAAAATGCCCTTTTCAGGTACGAGAAGTTACTCCTTTTCACTTCAGATAAGTGCTTAACCTCCTATAAATGCCCCTTTAAAATCTGATCGGTGACCATTTTCTTTCAACTAATGCCCCTTTTCCTAATGATAAGTGCCCCATTAAAAAATAGCCCCTTCCCCTTCTCATAAGTGCCCCTTCTCTGGAAAATGACCCATTTGAGATACTAGAAGTTACTCCTTTTCGGCACTTCAGATAAGTGCACCCTTAACCTCCGATAATTGCCCCTTTAAAATCTGTTCGGTGCCCATTTTCTTTCAACTAATGCACTTTTTCCTTTATTTAAAAGTGCCCCTTTTACATTCATTTACGTGCCCCTTTTCATATCTGGTCATTGCCCCTTTTCAGATGCAATAAGTACCTCTTTTTACCTCTGATAATTTCCCTTTTAACAATAATACGTGCCCCTTTTCCTTTCTAATAAGGGACCTATCCCCTTTTCAAAAATGCCCCTTTTCACCCCCTATAAATGCCCCTATCAAAATATAATGGGGGCCCCTTTTCCATCAACAAATGCCAATTTCCTATTCTCATGACTGATTTGTTTTCATCCCTGGTGAGTGCCTCCCTTTGAGGATGTAAGAAGTGCCCCATTTTCACCTCTGATAATTACTCTTTGTACTTTGACACATGCTCTTTTCTTTTCTGATAAGTGTCCCCTTTTCCTCTCATCATTAAACGCGCCCCAAATTTCAAGCGACTAAGAGAAATTTCTCGCAAAGCTCGCTCGCTACGCTAGCACGCATCTATAGATTATATACTTATGTTACTTTCCAAAGGCCTTTTCAGTCTTCCGTTATAAGAATGTGCTTATAACCCCATCAGGATTGGGTTTTTCCTCTCTATAACATGTAATTTTTCGCACTGCGATCTCACAAATATTTTAAAAAAATCCTTGCTCGCTCCGCTCGCTCGCAAATAATTTTTCAGACCATCACACCAAGCTGCAAAGCATGATGCTTAAGAAATATATTTTATGGTGTATAAAGTGAAACGAATATTGAAATCATCCCTGATAATGTAATCACAATGTCGGGGTATATACCAATGTCAACAAAGTTGTTTTTTTTCTCCAGAAAGTGCCCTTTTTTCTTGGTGCCCCCCCCCCCCCCCACTTTGGAAGTCGCTCGGCCGCCCCTGGTTTAAACCGAATTCACTGACATAATGGCCCGAATTCACAAAGCAAGGTTTGAGCTCAGACCAAGGTTTGACCTCAAACCTCCTTTTGTTTCGCCAAACCTCCCTATGTTATTTACAAACCAGGTTTGTAAAGAACAAAAGGAGGTTTGGCGAAACAAAAGGAGGTTTGAGCTCAAACCTTGGTCTGAGCTTAAACCTTGCTTTGTGAATTCGGGCCTAAAAGTCTCACCAAATAAACATTCAAACTGTTTTGAGAAAATACCTCAGGATAGCTTAGGGTTTCTTGTATTAATAGCCACCATCGTGCCTTTTGTTAAAGGGTGCAAAATGCAAAGTTGACAGGAATCCGAATTTGTCCTGGCTGATATCAGCAAAGTTGAGAGCCTTGGAAAGGTTTACGAATTTCCATGTTCTATTACAATTAATGAAAGACAATTTACGAAAGAATGGAATTTGTTCTCTGTATGTCATGACATAGCACACCAATATTGTGTGCCTGTGTAAACAATTATTTATTTTGCGAAGTGGGAGGCTTTATATTTAAATTGGCATACTTGCAAGAAGAGGAAAGAGAAGAAAAACAAGAACAAGAAGACGAAGAAGAAGAAGACGAAGAAGAAGAGAAGAAGAAGTAGTAGAAGAAGAAGAAGAAGAAGAAGGAAAAAGAAGAAGAAGAAATGGGCTGGTCAGATTATTGTGCGGGTCATTAAGAATAGACCATCAGTTATCCATGGGTATCAACATTACCAGTCAATATTTTTAAATGTGTTTGAGAATTTCAAATTATAAGCTTTTTTAGACGCACGTTTTTCTACGACAACCGTTTCACAAGTGATACACAAAGGCTGCTTGTGAAATATGTTCAGTGCAGTTTTTTTTTCTCCTCTGGACAGGGCCCAGTCTTACAAAGAGTTGCGATTGATTTGGATTAATCGTAACGTCCTCCATTCAATCGCAAGTTTGCAGCCCCTGTCTCTTATGTACATAGTTGTGATTGATATCAATCGCAAATAAGTTGGGATTGATATCGACTCTTTATAAGACGGGGCCCTGGTCTGGAACAAATACGTGTATATCTCATTTCAACCCCATCCTTCGTGGATTTGTGAAGTATAACGGAAAGTGTTTTTGCCCAATATTCCTCTTGTGCGTATAACAATTATTATGTGGGAACTTTTCTTAAGATTCTTTTATCTTAATACTAATCGTGTAATTTCTTGACTTTGAAAATATATCATTCGTATTCTGTTTATTGTGTTTTAATCAGTCTGCTAAATACATCCGGAATAGACCATGATATGTAAATAAATAAATTTAAAAAAAATCCAATAAAAATGCTTACAGTAATGGTATATATATATATATATATATATATATATATATATATATATATAACATATGAACCAGACACAGTTAACGATTCATGTTATTCTCTCGCAGTCCAACCTTATGTACCTGTCACTCCTAGACCAGTAATGGCTGTAGTTGGTGAGTATGACTTAATTTATCATTATTCGTTTCCCCGTGTTTGATTGTGATTATAAAAAGAAAAAAAATGTGCAAAATTAAAGATATTAAACGGGCGACTGGCGATTTTTCAAATAAATGGGATCATCACAATAAGTAGAACGGAATATCAAGCGCATGCACACAGAGAGAAAGAAAGAGAGAGAGAGAGAGAGGGGGGGGGTAAGAGAAGAACATATACATTGACTCCTCATGTGCATTATTCGCGGATGACACTGTCATCTCTCGCCCCATGTATGCTCCCGTCGATCACCAATACCTCCAAAATGACATCGATAGCATTCATCAGTGGTGCCAAGACAACAAGATGTGTCTCAACGCTTCAAAATCTAAAGTCATGAGGATATCATGCGCTAAGAATCCAGGTATTCCCGAGTACAGCATCAATAGCGTTCTTCTTGATGTAGTAACTGAGACCAAATATTTAGGTGTCATGATAAATAACCGCTTATCTTGGGATAGTCACGTCAACTACATTGTCTCACGAGCCAACCGGCTCCTTGGGCTGCTTTCTAGTGTTTCATCCGGTCTCTCTTCCCACGCTACACTTTGTCTGTACAAAGCTCTTATTCTACCCATACTCGAGTATGGTCTACCGGTTTGGACCCCGTATACGAAAAATTTAATCGGTAAGATTGAAGGTATTCAACGTAGAGCGACCCGAATTATCCTTAAACAAAGAAGAATGGAAATGTCATACGAGGAAAGGTTGCGACGCCTCCGCTGGTCATCTCTTGAGTCTCGTCGGAAGTTCACTTTGATCACATTCATTATCAAATGTTTGTTTATGTATGTATCCTGCGATAGTGTAAATAGCGCCATAAATGTAAACCCAAGGTATAGTACCGACCTGAAGTTCAAACATTTGTTCGCTCGAACTGAAAGTCTGCGTTCGTCAGCCATTAACTCATTTCCCAGATTGTGGGACACACTTCCTCAACATATTCGTAACGATGTACTATTGACTCACATTGGCACTTGGTGCTCCCACTTGAAGGTGTTGAACTCTGGCTTGTAAATCTGTATATATATATGATTCCATATTTATTCATGTTGTATTATACATTATATTCCTTAATAATATTAATAATGATTGTAAAAGTTATATGATATAATCGTAGCAATAATAATGATTGCAATAACAATAATATAAATGATGTTAATAATAATGACGAATATGCTTATACATATTTGTAACAGTGTGATCTTTTAATGCTGTTTATGCTTTCTTATTGCTAGTTGTTTAATTGCTGCTGTTTATAGTCATTTATAGAATATAAATAATCCTTCAATTCTATAAATGATTCACATAATAACCACCTGTGATGTATACCGTATAATTTGTGTTTCATTTTTCATTATATAATATGAAACAATAATGATATTTATTTGAAACAATACACAGTCCATTTTAACCATTCCAAACCATTCCAAAATTGTATTACTGAATCTTAATATTTTCATAAACATGATATAGGGCTTACCTTTATCTGTACATATTATGATCGTGCAATAGCTTCGAGACTGGTTGTTGTTGAAATTGTATTCTCAATGAAAATTAATTTTGTTGTTGATGTTTTAATATAAATATTGATGTCAATGATACAAATTATAATAATCATAATAATCATGATAGTAACGGTAGTAGTAATAATGTTAATAACGATAATGATAATGATATTATATTTATGTTTTACAACGTGATGATGGTGTTAATGATTAACAGTAATAATATGTTACCATACCTGTCATGAAATCACAACTTTAAAAAAAATTGTCATGCAATGTTTTTTTTCCTTTCTTTTTCTCCCTCTTTCCTCCATTTTCTTCTCATCTATCTTTTCTTTTTAAAGCTTTATTTTAACCAATATCAGGTGCATCTAGTCGGGTGTGGGGAGGAAGGTCTGCGGATCACAGTTATTTGGTTAACTTTTTCCATACCCGGGCAGCTCGACCGGATGCACCTGCTATTGCAATATTTATATATGCTTTCTATTGATTTTTTTAATCTCAATTCATGTTTGTTATATTGTTGTATTATGTGACTTGATTTGCCAAATAAAATAATAATAATAATAATATACAGAGGGAATGCTTTTGTGTGTGTGTGTGTGTGTGTGTGTGAGAGAGAGAGAGAGAGAGAGAGAGAGATAGAGAGAGATTCTTTCGGGCTTCTGACATACATTGTACGCTACAAATCATGAACCAGTGAATAATTTGAGAGCTTTACCCATTCTTTTTGCAGTTGGAGTAGAACTGGACGCAACAGTGAAGTTATCGAATCGAGCCTTTGTTCCTGCCTACAACAACGAATTATCGCCTCAATACCAAGAGCTTTCTCAAACCTTCACAAACACGGTTAGTGGATCCGACGCAGGTCCATCCTTTTGTTTCTTTGTGTGTGTTTGTGTAATTATGCTCGGGATGAGACAAAGAGTTTTTCTGCATAATAATAATAATAATAATAACAATGATATTTAAAACGTTACTTATAAAGCGCTTACCACCGAAGTTTCTAAGCGCTATAACAACAAAATAGACTGATAAACGATCACATATTAAACAAAACAAAAAGTGTAAATAAACCTACAAATTACAATACATATGAAATACACATCAATGTGAACAGAGTAAGTTAATCATCAAAAATCAAATGTGTCTCAAGACAAGTTTTGAATTGGTTAACAATTGGTTTGACCTGACAGTGGTCCGATTTTTTGTTGCTTGTTTGTTAAATTCCCCCTCTAAACCCCTCCCCAGCTATAATAAGACTATAAGAGAGAATGGTTTTACTATTCTTCAACTTAAATGATAATCTCAAACAAAAGTTTGAAAAAACCTTAGTTTCATGTATTTTTATGTGATATTGCCAAACATCTTCGAATAAACAATATTATTTGAACATCATTTATAGTGATGGCGGCGTAATGTTAATACGGCACCCCTCTTATTCGAAGTGAGAGTAGGCATTGGGGGGGGGGGGGGTTGCCAAGGGTTCGGGCTTCAAATTCCACGCACTCACGAGGGACTGGGTCGTGTAAATACACTTTATTCAGTTTAAGCGGAGGGCCGAAATACAAGGATAATATCCTGTGCGAAGGATCAGCTTATATTTCTTTTCAGTAAAAAGTTCTAGCAACCCAAAGGAATTGATTTGATTTCCACAAAAACGACAGTTTTGCCCACATGTGTATTGAGGACGTGTCTGGTGTGTTTACATCGAGTTTTAAAGATAACCTATAAGTAAAACCTTAAATTACCATGGATCTCAGTGATGTCAAAAGATGTATAATAAAAATACCTTCAAGTTAATATCAATTTTATTGAGTAATGTAGTGTGTAAAATAATTTTGTTGTTGTATAGATATCTTTTCCCTCTACTTTTGGCCAGTATCTCGGTATATTATTAATATTAACTTAACAAAAGTGATTAGACATTTAGTAGTGCACAAAAATCAAACAAATTTCTCGCTACCCCAAATAGCGATTCTGCCGAGATCCGGGGAAAATCCTGAAAACGCGCATTGCATTATGGGATAGCTTTTCGACATTACAGCTTCCTGTGCAGGCGCTATATTACTAGGCGCGATAGCGCAAACGTAAAACGCCGTCGCCACACAACGTGTATGCACCGAATATGTCGTCTGCTCGGTCTTGTTTTTTTTTTCGCAAATATTTCAACGTTTATTTGAACATTTCATTCGTTGTTTTTTGCGTCTTTTGACATCAGTGACGATGGTTTTCTTTTGTGAGGCTGCACAGTGCTGGGCTCATGATTCCAAGCGTAAGAACCCTGAAAAATGGGGGTGGATGAAGGCCGTGACTTGGGTGAAATTTCCCACCGAAGCTGGAACACGAGCGACATGGCTGCGCTTGATTCGCCGCAAGGACAAAGTGAATTTGACCAAAAAATCGCGGCTTTGTTCGAGACATTTCGATAAGGAGCAGATTGATCCAGATGGTTATGCCACAGGCTATCCCAAATACTTTTTCTGGAATAATTTTGGTCTTTTAGCGTGCGTGAAAACTCTGCACAGCGAACACAGGCGCTAGCGCCAGCGGGATGGGACTCTATACCGGAAGTTGTAGTGACGACCCGAGAGAGTGAAAATTACCTCGTCTCGCGAATTTCGAGATTTTCGTACCTATTTAGGGTAGCGAGTATTGATAAGATCGGTTGAACCTTTTAGACCCCTCCCCAGGACGTCGATCGATTACATGTATGTGCCCCCAAACATCAAACTCTTGCTACGGCCCTGCCCATACACCCCCCTCTCTCTCTCTCTTTATATCTCTATTCTCATCTCTCTATTTTTTTTCCTTAAAAAAAAAATCATTGGTATAGATGGATGCAGTGTTTTTGAACAGCGATCTAAGTGACATCTACAATGGTACAGTTGTCAACGGATTCACGTAAGTCGGAAGTTATTATGCACTGATTATAATATAATTCATGAATTCGGGCAATTGTTCCATGCCGTATCCTAGATAGTGATTGCTTTCAATGCCCTCCCCCCCCCCCCCCCCCCCCACCATGAAGATGATTCATATGTAGATTTATTTTCTAATTTGGCCTACCGCTCTTCAGTTAGCAAAGAAGGATGTAAAATGACAACGTTATTGGAAACAAATTAAATGGGGGAAAGGGCTGTTTTGGATAATACGCTACAAGGCGAGAGAGAGAGAGAGAGAGAGAGAGCGAAAGAGAGAGAGAGAGAGAGAGAGAGATTTGTTTTTTTATGGTTTAGTTTCTTTTATTTCACATGAAAAAATATAATACATTAACAAAACATAGCATATTTACAAAATTGACATTCGTGTACAATAAAGACATCTACACAGGATAAGTTTGTATGACACTAAATAATTTCGAAATTACATGTGAAAAAAAGGAACTTAATAAGAAGCATAGCTTGTAGAATTTAAGTTCCTCAAAATAATTTTGACACAGTGTCATTCATAGTAAGGTAGAGGTATAATAATTAAAAGCAAAGTATACAGACAAAAACAATGAAGTCATATGGATGATGGGTGTAAGAAAGAAGAGAAATATGAACTTAGGAAGAGAAGGTAAAGAATGGGGGTCAGAAGGAGAATGAGAAGAGAGAAAAGGGAGTTTTAGAATAAAGTGTTCAAGGTCGGGAGTCACAGTCGGGGAAAAAATAGACTATTTTTTCCGACTGTGACTCCCGTCCTTGAACATATACTATGAGTATAGATGTGCATTACACTTACGAATTCAAAAGTAACAATTTGATATGTTTTTTTAAGCTGCCACAGTTTTTAAGCTGTTTGGGATTGAAGGGGGAAAGATTGAATGTAAGAAATGGGGGATAGAATAACAAAATACAGGCGTGCTAACTAGTTCCAGCTGGTGGATTTCATCACTGGGCAAATTTTGAAGAGCAGAGCATTTATACAAAAAAAGGTCTGATTTGATATGTTTACAGTCAAGGGAGTGTCATCGTGAACTTCACCATCAACCTGATACGAGCGCCGACAGCGCCGACAGTCACGGGTTCGACGACGATGTCATCGGGTGTCGGGAGCATCGATGACCAGATCAACTCGGTCAGAGGACAGGTCGAAGTCTCCATTAAGGAGATCATTCAGATTGCCGACGACAATGGCGACCTCACCACACTCGGGGTCGATTCGACGACACTTTCGGTGACAGATGGTAAGGAGCTCATGTTTTCCTTATTCTTTTTTTTTAATGACCCATGTATTTTTAGCATGTGCCTGAATGTTCTACCATGTTATGTTAAATGAATCCAATACTGAAAACTGTACACATCTTAGGTACACACGTAGAAAAACAATATATATATTATGGTTCACACGTCGTATACGTAGTTCAGGATTTATATTAGATACTGTCTGTATGTTAGCTGATGTTTGCAATACAAAGTTTCTATTTTGTTGGTTATGTTTATTAAAACACATAATACAATATATGCTAAGCTGACGACTTATTATGTTTACGGTGTTAATGGGAAATAATTATGTACAAGAAAGAGAAAGAGAGATGAGAGAGAGAGAGAGAGAGAGAGAGAGAGAGAGAGAGAGAATGAGAAAAATAAGAAGAAAGAGGACGTCGATGGCGGGGAGGTGGAGGTGAAAGATGATGAAAGGACGAGGAGAAGGACGAGGATGAAGAGGAAGAGGTTTAGGTGGAGAAGGAGATAATGAAGAAGAAGAAGAAGGAGGAGAAGAAGAAGAAGAAGAAGAAGAAGAAGAAGAAGAAGAAGGCGAGTCCATTCTGACCTCGGTCATGAATTTATGTTGCTGTAATGCCCCTAAAGTATGATTATAATAACGGTGTATTTTATTTCTATCAACAGTTTCTGTTGACGTCGAAACAACAACAGTCACTGAAACACCCGCAACAACGATTGCTCCTTCCACAAAAACTCCAGGTTTGTGATAGATGTTAATTTTGACACTAATACCATTCGTCTCTCTTCCTCGCATTTTGTGCACATGTGGTTGGGGAGAAAACAATGTTCAATGATACCTTTTCCGTAATAAATAAAATAAATAAACTATGCTGAGAGGTTTGAGAGGCTAGCTGTATTTTGGTAATTGTGCTGCGTATATAAAAGAGTGGAGCCGATCATATCACGCAACCCGCCTCCGTGATCGATATTCCTTCGTGCAGATATTTAGCGTAGGCCTGGCACAGCCGAATTGTAAGGCCTTATTGTTTCATACATGGCATACTGATATATATTGCATAATTTGAACGTTCTGCCGTTGGACAAAATGGGCTCAATTTCCGACCGAGACCTTAATTTTTGGAGATCTTTTTGAAGTTATGTCACAATAAGGAAGACAGTACAAGGAGAAATTTAGGTACGCTAAGAATTTTCATCCAACTTTTCTAACATTTCTTCTGCATTCCTTCCATCGCCCGTAATATTTTTTTCCTCCAAGTTTTGAGTCGTGCTGCAATATGTAGCCTATAGGCTCCTATTTAATGAGTTCATTCACTCAAAATTCATATAATATATGCTATATATAATTTATAGCATATTCTGGGAAATCAGATAGAGTAACTGACATTTACCCAAGGCAGAGACCCTACTGACCCCGGCTTTAACCTGACAATATTATACAAGCAAAATTTACACAAGTACAGCTTAATTTGCCAGTACATAGGCTGGAGCTAGCTCGAGGTACATCGTCGGCTGCCAGCGAGAAGGCCGTTATACTGCCATTGACAATCATAATTATGTACTGTCAATGGTGCAGGCACGTAGCCAGAGTTTGATGTTTTTTTGTGGGGGCACATACATGTAATCGATCGAGGTTAAAAAAGGGGTCTAAAAAAGTTCGACCGATCTTGGATTTTTTTTTTTTTTTTTTTTTTGGGGGGGGGGGGGGGGGGGGAGGCACGTGCCCCCCCCCCCCCGTGGCTACGTGCCTGTAATGGTGGCTGTAACAACATTATTGTGGGCAGCCACGATAATGTAGGCCTATTGTTTGGTTGCTTAATAATTTAGTGTCACCCTTCTTCCTTTCGTCGCTTCTGCACAAATAATTGAGAGTAATAATAAGTCACCCGACTGCAGATCACAAGGTACGGGGTTCAAATCCCGCCGCAGCACTAATGTCCTTTGGCAAGACGTTAATCTACATTTGCCACTCTCCACCCAGGTGTAAATGGGTACCTGATATGCTTGAGCGCTAGTTACTTTGGCAGCTCGGCTACGACCAGGGTAATATGTGTAAAGCGCCATGAGCGTCAGAACCTGGCGGATACCGGCGCTATATAAATAACCATATTATTTATTATTTATTAATACTAGACCCTATATCGTATAATGATTTTACTTGAATTAGCATACTATTACGGAAATTGTTCCTGTCTCTCGGCGTGGGCGTGGCCCGACCATTTAGTTACATGACTGATTCATTTTCGGGGAGGTTTGCAGACTTAAAACTAAAATAGTATACCGTATTCTTTGGTTTATAGTTAAACTGATTATGAAATTGAAAAAAAGGGTATTTGATTGAAAGAGCAAGACATTTGCAAACATGTGACTATGTACATTTTTTTTAAATATGGTGTTTTTGGTGAATGCGTAGCCAAAAAAAAGCCGGAGAGTGAATGCCGATAATGTCATTTTCTCAATTCTATTACCACCCTATACTTCTACTTTCAACCAATCAGAAAAACGCAATACTACAGTAGACGCCAAATTTAGCCTGACTTTCATGCGTGTATGTTTACAAAAAATAATCGAAGGGCATGCATATTTAATCGGCAGTGTACGTTTGCGTTTGTACGTACGTAAAGCGGAATTTTGACAAGACTAATCTGCGTACGCGTGTCGATATCGATAACGATCGCAATGTTTTTACGGTAGCATATATTGGCACGAGCTTTAGTGGAGTCATGAATATTCATTAGTCCCTACGTCACATACGTGCGGCGTGCGTAGTGTGTCATATACACATGTACTAGTACACGAGTACGTTTGTAAGTATTAGTACATGTACGTTGCTCCGGAATGAAGAGAATCGCTATAAAGGACGAATTACTCCGTGAAGCCAAGTACGAACAGAGAATTGAAAGCAACTACACTCCCTAATCTAGCTAGTTTTGTAATAACAAATAGGTATTTTTTTCATAATATTTTACTCTTTCGTGGCTTCATACTAAGGAACTTTCAAAAAGATGATTTGTAGAAAAAAGAAAACTGAAGAAAAGAAAACATGTGCACCCAGCAGTTCAATGCAGTTCCTACCTACCTAGGCCTACCTAAACCCACTTACAAAATATTACTTGCATGTTGCTTAAATAGTTGACAGCCACAATATTTAGTAAAATAATAGGCGTTTCATGTATTTTAATACTGGTAAGTTGCTCGATATGATTTGATTCGATATATATCTCATTAATAAAACCATCTAAAGGCTATAAGTCTCAAACATATCTTAAACCGAGTGCTAACAGCATTAAACCATGCCCCCAAATTTAGTGATCTTTTTTTTTTATATCGAAATACCGAGGTTTCACTGGTTTATTTAGCAACATGAAGATTGTAATACTATAATGTTCGAGTACATCACTTTGTGTATGATTTGATCCGATATCTCAGTAATGAAACCACGCAAAGGCATTCTAGTCTCAAACAAACCATCACCATTAAACCGAGTGCGAACACCATTAAACCATGCGCCAAATTTAGTAATCTTCTTTTGTGTATCAAAAGACCGAGGTTTCATGGGTTTATTTAGGAAAATGCCAATTTGATACTATAATATTCGATAAAATCGGTCAGTATATGATTTGATTCGATATATATCTCATTAATGAATCCATCTAAAGGCTATATTAGTCTCAAACCAACCAACACCATTAAACCGAGTGCCAACACCATTAAACCATGCGCCAAATTTAGTAATCTTCTTTTGTGTATCGAAAGACCGAGGTTTCCCGGGTTTATTTAGGAAAATGGAAATTTAATACTGGTAAGATGCTCAATTACATCACAAGGTATATAATTTGATCCGAGATAATCTAATTAATAAAACCATGCAAAGGGATTCCAGTCTCAAACAAACCTTCACCATTAAACCGAGTGCCAACACCATTAAACCATGTGCCAAATTTAGTAAACTTCTTTTGTGTATCGAAAGACCGAGGTCCCCGGGTTTATTTAGGAAATTTGATACTATTAATGTTCGATAAAATCGGTCAGTATATGATTTGATTCGATATATTATATCTCACTAATAAAACCACCTAAAGGCTTTATAGTCTCAAACAAACCCCCACCATTTAACCGAGTGCGAACACCATTAAACCATGCGCCAAATTTAGTACAGGCGCGGATCCAGGGGGGGGGGGGCCGAGCGTGCCTTGGCCCCCCCCCCCCCCCCCGCAAAAAAAAAAAAAAAAAAGAAGAGAGAGAGAAGGAAAAGAAGGGAAAGAGGAGAGAAAGGGAAAAAAGAAGAGGAAGAAGAAAAGAAAAGAGGGAAGAAGGAGATCGGGGGGGAGGACTTGCCTCCCCCCAATAAAAAATAAAAGAGAAGGAAGGAAAGGGAAAGAAAAAAGATAAAGAGGAGATAAAGGGAAGGACAAAATAGGAAGAAGAAAAGAAAAGAAGGGGGATATCAGTTGCAATTTTCCCGCCAACAAGTTGTGGATCGAGGGGGGGAAGACCCTAGCCTCCCCTCTCCCCCCCCCCCCCCCCCCCCGTCCCCGCTAAAAAAAAGAGAGAAGGAAGGAAAAGGAAAAGAGGAGAGCTAAAAGGGAACAAAAAGAGGAAGAAAAGAAGCGGAGATCAGTTGCGGTTAATCCCGCCAACAATGTGTGGAGCGGGTTGGGGACCAAAATGACCGTGCCCCTCCCCTCCCCCCCCCCCCCCCAGCAAACCTAAAAGAGAGATAAGGAAGGGAAGGGAAAGTGAAAAAGAAGAGAAAGGGAAAGGGAAAAAAGGAGAATGAAGAAAGGTAAGGGATATCAGTTGCAATTTTCCCGCCAACAAGGTGTAGATCGGAGGGGGGGGGGGGGCACTGGCATACTGATAGGGGAGGGGGGTGGGTTGGAGAAATAGAATTCAAACGTGGTTTATTTATAATTCCATAACGGTGGTTAACAAATAATGCTGAAATGAGATAATTTTCCTCACTTCATGCGTTTGTTGGAAAATGACAAATTCCTAAATTTACAGCCAGGCAAGAAAATGCTTCTTGAGATGCCTACATATCAGGGCCCGCGGAACGGCGGGGATCGGGATCCTCGAGCCCCTCTCCCCACACTTTCTTTGAAAAAGTATATTAAAGAGAAATAGAAATAAAGAGAGCGAGAAAGAAAAAAATAGTTAACTGCCAGTGTCACATTATAATGGGGTATCAAAATATGCTCATCTGACCATGATTAAAATTAATGCCTAAAATCCTAAGGGCTCTGCCCCCTGGATTCCACCTAGGGCCCTAAGGAGGGCCCTTAGATGCTCATATGACGGTCATTTAATGCCTAAAACCCCTGATTTCTGGGGGCTCTGCCCCCTGGACCCCACGCCAAATAGTGTCCTGCTAGTGTCACAAATAATAAGGTATCAAAAATGCTCATCTGACCGTAATTAAACGCCTAAAACCCCTGAGCTTCTGGGGGCTCTGCCCCCTGGACCCAACCAAGAGCCCTTAGGCGGGCCCCTCGATACTCATCTGACCGTAATTGAGTGCCTAAAACCCTTGAGATTCCGGGGCTCCGCCCCCTGAACCCCAAGCCAATTAGTGACCTGCCATTGTAACAATTAGGTATCAAAATAATGCTCATCTGACCGAAATTAAATGCCTAAACTCCTGAACTTCCGGGGCTCTGCCCCCTGCAGGCGCGGATCCAGGATTTCTTAGGGGGGGGGGGGCCCAAATTTGAAATTATGCGAGCCAAATATTGGTACGT